GACGCTCGCTTTGGACACCCGTTAACAGCGTCCCAAAACGGATCTGGCGGAACTGGAACTGGAACTGGCAGACCCCCAACGGACTCGTGGTCAGGTTTCGCCGCACTTCTCTGTGCATGACAATAACAGTTTCCGCGAGCATTGTGCGGCGCAAAAACCGGGCGAGGGACATACATCTTATGGACGATTCCAAACATGCCAACTTACTTCACTTTCTGCACCTCCCTCGCCACGTCGGCATCCTCGTCATCATCCTCATCCTTTTCGTCGTCATACTCGTCTTCATCCTCGTCGTACTCGTACTCATCCTCGTCCTCGTCCTCATCCTCGTCCAGGTCGATCTCGTCGTCCTCGTCCTCGTCGTCGTCGATGTCATCCTCTCCCTCGCTGGTGAAGGGCTCAGACTTGATGAGGTGTTCGTCCTCGGCCAGCTGGCGGCTGATGATCCGGTCCCTGAGGACAACAGGAGGACATTGATCAGGGCCCCGACCTCTGCCAGCCGACTGATGGTCCAGTCCCTGAAGACAACGGGGGGGGGGGGGGAGAGGGAGGAGGTGGACGTTCAATGCGGCGCCCGACTTCGGTTTCTCAGACCTCGCCTCCAGCCCACCGCAGGACATCCTCGGAACGCGTCATGGGTCACCTATCTAATACATAATGGTTTCTCTCAATTTTACTAATTTAGTCGTATGCCACAAAAGCTAGGCTTCACGCACCTAGGCCTGACGCTGCTGTAACTCGACAGCTGTTTTGACGAGCGCCACACACCGCACACACACGCTGCCGTCTGTCGGGCACGCGTTCTTTATTCTGAAAAACGGAAAGCGACAAGCGCTGTCGTCAGTCCCTCCACTGACAGACCACGGCGACGGGCTGGTGACCCAGCCCGACGGGTCAGTCCGACAGGGCCAGCCGCTCCCCGTGTGAGCCGAGCACGCGCACCCCCGTCTCGTTCAGGACCACCGCCCACCCTCGCAGCCCAGAGCCGGCCAAGCCCGCGCTGCGCTGCAGGGACGGCGACAGTGCAAAAGCGGCTGTCAGCGGCTGCAACGAGCCAGCGACAGCGGCCTGCATTTCTTTATTTCTCTCCACGCTTCGCCTCGTGGGAGTGAGTGATGCACGCTTCTGGAGGCGGCCAGCCGGCACCCATCTGCTCCAGCCTCGCTGCCGCCCTTCAACGAGGGCTGCTGCACCTGCCGCCGTCGCAGCGGCTCGGCGTAACGCGCTACAGTCACGGCTCGGCGACCCTGTGGTGAGTCCGTGCGGCGGCATAGTTCTCCAACAACGATATACGTCGATCCTCACACTAGGAATCCGTTTCGGTCATGAATGGAGCTTTCCACGGTGAAGGCGGAACAGTCACAGTCTCACAGTTACAGTGACACGCGGGTCTGGTTGCCTATGAGGGCAGGGGGGGGGGGGCATGGGTATGCATGGTCACCAGGGGCGTCCCAGCGGAGGCGTGCCTACCCGCGCCACAGCGGCGTAATCGGGTAATGGCCGAGCTCCCGGTCTTGTGACACCAAACAGCCTGGTCCATTAGCAGCCTCAGGCCGGCCGACTGGCAGTGTCCCAAGCCGGCTGCGACGTCACGAGTCTGCCGGCCCGTTCGCGGCATGGTGACGGCGCAGTGGGAGCGCCAGCCGGCCTTCTGACGTGCTGAGCCGCATTTTGCCGGCACACTGACGGCCATTTTCCCACGTCCAGCCGTTTCATTTTATTCTGTGTTCATTTCGCGATTCGCTTCGTAACGCGGCAACTAATAGGGTTTCTAAGCTTGGTCAGCGGTCACGCTAGCCACTTTAGCCGTCTTCAGGCGAAATGACCCCTTTCCCGGGGTCGTTTGCGAAAACCGTTGCCATTTCATCCGTCGCTCGCCGTCGACGCCCGCGTCCACGACGCCCGCGTCAACGGCGGCGCGCCAGACGGGCTGCGACAAGAGTGGCGCAGCGGCTCGCGAGGCGACGCCGTGACACGGCAGCGTTTAGTGGCCGCCCGCACCCGCCGTCGCGTCGTGGCTTGGCCACTGTAGAACGGAACCCTGCACGAAATTTAACGGTGCGATCATGGTACGGCAGTGTTTTACGGCCGCCATCGCCCCAAAGTGCCGGTCAAATGTACTTGGCAAAGCCATAGAAGGCACCGTTAGGCGCAGGGTGTCCAACCCAAGCCGTGATACTGGGGAGCGTTTGCGTCGTTCCACAGCTCCGCTTCGCAGGCAGCGGTTCAGCCGGATTTAGAAGGCGGAGAATTGGTGTGATGCACAGGCGGCTGACAGTGGGAAGCGAGTCATTCTGAACCAGACAGAGACGCAGAATTCGCACAGAGCAGTGAACCATTCACACCTATCAGGACGTCACAGAGGTCACAGAGCCATACCGACCCACGGAGGGACCGCAGAGCACAGAGAGGAGGTGTTCTGACGCTCAGAGCGCTCACAGCAGGCCGCACCTGAATACCGAGGCGAAAACAGGACGGATGACGATGTCGTGATTGCATAGCCACCAATCGGCCTCGAACACAGCTGGTGACGTCATATGTGCCCAAAGTCCCCTTCTCCGATCACACGAGCTGAATGTCCCAGGGTAGCCGATCCTTCGCGTCGACTTCCAAATGTCGTCAGAACTCCTTTATCTCCCCCCCCCCCCCCCCCCCCCCCCCCCCCCTCATCAACATCTTCCACGGAGGCACACAAACAGAATATCGGCATTAGCCGGAAGCCGGCGGATTCGGTCCGAATGGCCGCCGCCCTCAGCCGTGGCGCCGATCACTGATTTATCGAGAGAAATGGCACCGCCTGGGCCACTTTGCATGCAGCGAAACACAGGGGAAATCCGCAGGAAAGACGTGGATCTCCGACTAAATCGTCAACACCTCCCGGCTCGCTCTTCCCCACACGCGGAAGCGTCGGAAGGTGGCCGCACGTTCGGCACGACGGCATAGTTTGAGAGAGCCGAGTAGACGCGAACAAATGGTGCGCAGGCCTCGGTTCGGGGCGCGCCACTGCCGAGTCAGTCCGCGATTGTCGCCAGGCGCCGGTCGTGGAGGAGCCGCCGGGCTGAACCGGTACGCTCGCCGCCAGGGGCAGCCGTGTCTCCTGTCTGTCAGAGAGGTAACCATGCATAGCTTCATGCGTGCGTCACACAGGCGTTCCGTCAGGCGTGTGTCCAATAGGCGTCCTGTCGTCGCTGTCAGCCTGTCGTGACCGCCCGGTATGACCGCCTGTCACAGACGCGCTGCTGTCACCGCTCACGGCCGTCCAGTTGGGTGAGAGGCAGAATTCGGTTGCTTCCAACGGCCATTCGGAGCCCGCAGCCCACGCCGGCACGTGGTGAGAGGTGAGCCAGAGTGAGCCCTGAGCTGTGAGCTGTGAGCTGTGAGCTGTGAGCTCTGAGCTGTGAGCTGTGAGCTGTGAGCTGTGAGCTCTGAGCTCGGGCGGAACACGGCCCGGTGCGAGCTGAGCGGTGTGCCGGAGAGACCTCTGAGCTCTGAACTCCCAGTCCAGACGGCTCGCTCGCGAGCTGGGTAGTGCGCTGGAAGGACCTCTCAGCTCCGAACTCCAGGTCCAGACTACTTGCGAGCCACCTGATGCGCCGGAGCGAGCTCCGAGCCTGCCCGACCAGGGAACGGCCGCCGGCTGCGTCCCTCCGGCACCGTCACATCCCAGTCGGCAGCCGCGCCTAATGAAGCGCCCACGCGCGCCCGGCCGCTTCAGGAGCGGGACAGGCGAACAACGGGCTGCCCTAACGCGCCGCTCAGACTCCAGCTATTCCAGCTGAAATCGGATGGCGGCAGTAGCTACAGCGCGGCATTCAAAGCGATGCCACTTTTGCAGCGCCGCTCGCCGATGCAAATGGAAATGTCTTCCCAAATCAAGACCGCTAGAGCGGCGAACACTCCGTTTTCAGCGGCGTGGTTTTAACACGGGAGCGGCCAAACTTCTGCATAATGGAGCAGCCGGCGAAACACCGGCGAAATTACCAAATGCGGAGCGTTTTGCCTGTTTGCATGCTCGTGGCGCATCACAAGCCGTAAAGCTCTGCGATGTGCAATGGTGTGCAAGATCTGCAACACGAGAGCAACGCCAGACCATGACCAGACCAGATCAGACCAGACCAGACCAAGATCGGACCATACCAGACCAGAACAAACTAGACCAGACCATACCTGACGATTACCAGACCAGACCAGACTAGACCATACCAGACGAGACCATCACCAGACGAGACGAGACCAGACCAGACCAGACGACACCAGACCATGTCCGGGGCTCCCAAGCGCCCCGAGCAAGAGCTTGCGTGACGAAGTGATGCCAGCAAACGTCCTTGGCAGCACACAACATGACACGCTACCGACCGACCGCGGCGCATCACCGGCGCATGCCGTGGAGAGGCGCCACACTGGCAGCGGGCTTCGTCGGCCTGACGATCGTCAAGAATGTTCAACAAAACATTCGGAAAGGCTTAAAATGATAGGAAGAGCTCCGATGGTTGGCCGATTACAGGGTTTATGGGAACCGACATATCATTCGACAATGCCGGTGCATCAGATGCCCCCCGCGCCCAGAAACGGCCAGCTTCCAAGTTTATAGCTAGCGAGAAGAGTTATCGCGCTATTTACGAGGTCGGTATCCACCAGGCCAGCGCCCAGCCGTGGTTGACCCGTGCCCCGCGGCGGGCCGGGGTCGCACCGATCACGTCCGAGATACCCTGGCCAGCGGACGTCACGTCCCGCCCGATATTATCACCCCTGGACAGGGGTGACATTTTCACTTCCAGACAACGGACAAACTCGCGCACCCAGTACGCTAGCGTTCTGTCGTTCTGCCCTCTGCTGCGGTGGAAAGGTCGTGGCCTCGAGCGGTGAGAATCTCGCGGCATCCACAGATGGATCGGTGTGTCCTCCGACCTCGAAATTGCAACGGACCCAGGGTGTAGTTTACCCTTTAGTTAAGGGCTCCCTTCATCATGGCTTGAGACCCCCCCCACCACCATCACAACATGGGCTTCCCCAACTTTGTGAAGAAAGTCGGAACGAATAGTGAGAAAGGTGAAAGTAGTAGACTCTGGGCCGTCTGTTAAAAAAAACCAATTTGTGAGCTTTTTAGGGAGTCTGTTTCATCATTGTTCATTGCTTTACCTTCCCCCGCAACTCATTTTGTGAAACAACGCCCCTGACCGTACCTGACGTGCTGCCAACGTGTAGCCAGCCCACGCTCCCAGTCACGCAATGCTGCAGGCGGTGAAACAGCGGGGCAACGTTAAGGTGCAGCCAGCAGGGGAACGGATGATCGGAGGTTTCCATCGGGCTGGGTGGAGAGCGGCCACCACACGAGTCCCCCCCCCCTCCGCTCCCTCCCTGCCACAGCTGGCGGTGATGGCCAGAGTCCTGGCCGCCCTAACGGGACGCCCGACTATGGACTTGGCTACGGGCTTGAACTAACGGGGCACACAACGGGTCTGGTCTGACCATGGTCTGGCGTTGCTCTTGTGTTGCAGACCTTGCATACCATAACGCTGTCTGATCGCCGAGACTGTGTGTCTGCGGAGCCGGATGTCTACAGCGGCTGGGCGCGTCACCTCGACGGCCCCGAACAATAACCTTGCGCGTCAGGTCAAAGGCAGACCAGACGTCGTCAAAGACACGAAGTCAGGTCAAAGGCAGACCAGATGTCGTCAGAGGCACGACGTCAGGTCAAAGGCACATCAGACGTCATCAAAGACACGACGTCAGGTCAAAGGCAGACCAGACGTCCTCAAAGGCACATCAGGTCAAAGGCAGACCAGACGTCGTCAAAGGCACATCAGGTCAAATGCAGACCAGACGTCGTCAGAGGCACGACGTCAGGTCAAAGGCAGACCGGACGTCATCAGAGGCACGACGTCAGGGCCGAGGCAGACCAGAAGCCACCAGTGGCACGTACCACAGCTCCGCATCCGTGCTGCGCGGCAGCCGTCACTGCTCAGCCTCCGAACGGCAAGCGAGCGGCGCGACGCCCTCTGTTGGCCGTGCCGAAGCGTGGCGTCGGGCGCGAGCGCCGGTGCCGGTCGGCTCGGTTAGCGACGGCCAGCCGGGCCGCCCGGTCTGCTCAGGGCCAGCCGGTCAGCCGGCGCGGCCCGCCCGTCCGAGGGGGGAGCGGCCGCCGGTCCGAGGGAGGAGGCGGCCGCCGGTCCGAGGGACAAGCGCTCCCGTCCGGGGGAGGCGGCCGCCCGTCCGAGGGAGGAGGCGGCCGCTGGTCCGAGGGACGAGGCGCTCCCGTCCGGGGGAGGCGGCCGCCCGTCCGAGGGAGGAGGCGGCCGCCGGTCCGAGGGACGAGGCGCTCCCGTCCGAGGGAGGAAGCGGCCGCTGGTCCGGTGGAGGAGGCGCTCCTGTCCGAATGAGGAGGCGGTCGCCGGTCCGAGGGAGGAGGCGCTCCCGTCCGAGGGAGGAGGCGCTCCCGCCCGGGGGAGGAGCGCTCCCGTCCGAGGGAGGAGGCGGCCGCCCGTCCGAGGGAGGAGGCGGCCGCCGGTCCGAGGGAGGACGCGCTCCCGTCCAAGGGAGGTGGCGGCCGCCGGTCTGAGGAGGACGCGCGCTCCCGTTCGGGGGAGAGGCGCCGCCGTCCGAGGGAGGAGACGCTCCCGTTCGAGGGAGGAGGCGCCGCCGTCCGAGGGAGGAGACGCTCCCGTTCGAGGGAGGAGGCGCGCCGTCCGAGGGAGGAGACGCTCCCGTTCGAGGGAGGAGGCGCCGCCGTCCGAGGGAGGAGACGCTCCCGTTCGAGGGAGGAGGCGCCGCCGTCCGAGGAGGAGACGCTCCCGTTCGAGGGAGGAGGCCGCCCGTCCGAGGAGAGACGCTCCGTTCGGGGGAGGAGGCGCCGCCGTCCGAGGGAGGAGACGCTCCCGTTCGAGGGAGGAGGCGCCCCGTCCGAGGGAGGAGACGCTCCCGTTCGAGGGAGGAGGCGCCGCCGTCCGAGGGAGGAGCGCTCCCGTTCGAGGGAGGAGGCGCCGCCGTCCGAGGGAGGAACGCTCCCGTTCGAGGAGGAGGGCGCCGCCGTCCGAGGGAGGAGACGCTCCCGTTCGAGGGAGGAGGCGCCGCCGTCCGAGGGAGGAGACGCTCCCGTTCGAGGGGAGGGCGCCGCCGTCCGAGGGAGGAGACGCTCCCGTTCGAGGGAGGAGGCGCCGCCGTCCGAGGGAGGACGCGCTCCCGTTCGGGGGAGGAGGCGCCGCCGCCGTCCGAGGGAGGAGAGCTCCCGTTCGAGGGAGGAGGCGCCGCCGTCCGAGGGAGGAGACGCTCCCGTTCGAGGGAGGAGGCGCCGCGTCCGAGGGAGGAGACGCTCCCGTTCGAGGGAGGCGCCGCCGTCCGAGGGAGGAGACGCTCCCGTTCGGGGGAGGAGGCGCCGCCCGTACCGAGGGAGGAGACGCTCCCGTTCGAGGAGGAGGCGCCGCCGTCCGAGGGAGGAGACGCTCCCGTTCGAGGGAGAGGCGCCGCCGTCCGAGGAGAGGAGACGCTCCCGTTCGAGGGAGGAGCGCCGCCGTCCGAGGGAGGGACCTCCCGTTCGAGGGAGGAGGCGCCGCCGTTCGAGGGAGGAGACGCTCCCGTTCGAGGGAGGAGGCGCCGCCGTCCGAGGGGAGGAGACGCTCCCGTTCGAGGGAGGAGGCCCGCCGTCCGAGGGAGGAGACGCTCCCGTTCGAGGGAGGAGGCGCCGCCGTTCGAGGGAGGAGACGCTCCGTTCGAGGGAGGAGCGCCGCCGTCCGAGGGAGGAGACGCTCCCGTTCGAGGGAGGAGGCGCCGCCGTCCGAGGGAGGAACGCTCCCGTTCGAGGGAGGAGGCGCGCCGTCCGAGGGAGGAGACGCTCCCGTTCGAGGGAGGAGGCGCCGCCGTCCGAGGGAGGAGACGCTCCCGTTCGAGGAGGAGGCGCCGCCGTCCGAGGGAGGAGACGCTCCCGTTCGAGGGAGGAGGCGCGCCGTCCCGGGAGGAGACGCTCCCGTTCGAGGGAGGGGCGCCGCCGTCCGAGGGAGGAGACGCTCCCGTTCGAGGGAGGAGGCGCCGCCGTCCGAGGAGGAGACGCTCCCGTTCGAGGGAGGAGGCGCCGCCGTCCGAGGGAGGAGACGCTCCGTTCGAGGGAGGAGGCGCCGCCGTCCGAGGGAGGAGACGCTCCGTTCGAGGGGAGGCGCCGCCGTCCGAGGGAGGAGACGCTCCCGTTGAGGGAGGAGCGCCGCCGTCCGAGGGCGGCCGCCGCTGCCGTCGCCGCTGCAGCCCGGCCGCGTGGGCCAGCAGGGCCCAGCTGGGTGGCGCGGGGGCGGATAGTGAGGAGCGGGAGAGGGAGGGCGGATAGTGAGCGGAGAGGGAGGGCGGACAGCGGGCGGCAGCCCGCCGCGCCGGCCAGCACACTGCGGCGGCCCGCGGCAGTTTAGTTGCGCCAGCTATTCGCAGCTCTAGCTCCGCTTCTTCCGGTTCCTCCTTCATTTGGGAGAGCCTGAGTACGCGCCTGCAGGCGGAGACGCGCCGGGCCTCACCCACAACCGAGACCACTTGTCTCAGCCTGGCCAGTCATTCTTGAGGCTCTCAAACAATTAGGGAGGCAAGCACCAGACTGACCGATAATTATTACAATTAATATCGCTATCATGTCTCCACGCTGCTGCAACGGCACCACCCGGTGTCATCATCAGACGGAACTAGTGCTGAGGCTTCACTAGAGTATATTTTAGAAAAATATCCCGCAAAGGTAGCACACTCTTTAAGACAAGTCAAGATAGCACTAATTTTGCACTAATTAGCACTAATTTTGCAGACCAGCTCACTCAGACGACTACGCAACGTTCCGGAAGTGAACTGGTTCAAGATAGCTGCGGGCGGGGGAGGGGGCGGTCAGGGGCACCCTGAGATTCGTTGCACGCCCACGGCGTCTGCAGCCGCATGTGGCATACCGTCATGACTGCTGCTCAACAAAGACGGCGACCTGCGCTAAAACGCGTGACTCTGACTCTGACTCTCTGACGTGACCCTGACTCTCTGACGTGACTCTGATGAATGATGGCCGGAGGGAATCCCGTAATGGCGTGGATAGCAAGCATAACTACAGCCAGGTGTACACGGCCAATGGCTGCACCTGCAGCGAACATGGCTCCGGACACCTGAGACCGACACCTACGGGCCCGATATCATCCACAACCGTCACCTCTCCCCCTCCCCTCCCCTCCCCTCCCCCGGGGCCGCGCTCTGGACACTGCGCGGCACCTGGTCTGAAGCGGGCGGCCACGCCGAGCAGTCACCGCCCAGCGAGCAGCCTTGCGCGAAGCCGGGCCCGCCGGCCGGCGTCGGCTGGCCAATTGTGGCCCGTCACGGTCTGCTCCCGCCAGATTTGTGGCCCACTGGATATGGCCGGCGGCCGGATTTGTGGGCCGCTGGCCCGACACGAGACACGTGGTATCCGTGACCGGCTGCATTGTGATGCGGCCGTTGGATTTATATCGCTCGCGTTCCGGAGCCTCAGCATTTCAGCTTCCAGCTTCAAATCCGCTCAATATGAGGCGTGGAAGAGAACAAACACGGTATCCAATGCGCCACTACAAAGGACATCACACGAATTGCAGCCACAGCTTTCATCTGCGCGACAAACAATCCGGTCACGCGAGCCTGTAAGCCCTGTAAACGCAGTCCAAGCCCACCGTGCGATGTCCAAACCGAATCCAGCAGAAACCGTACAACTCTCCTGTAAGCGCAGTCCAAGTCCACTGGCAACTGCCACTGGCAGGCAACTGATTGTGTCGGCAACGGCAACGGGAGAACGAACGTTCGAATTATCCAATGGAAATAGGTTGCACGTGTATCGTGGCGAGCACAGGACAGTTCATGATAGATCGAGGGATGGGCTCTCACTCGAGGGTGCGTGAGGGAGAGACGGGCCGCGAAGGACGAGCCGGCGGGACGCCGGGACTGGCCGCCTCCGAGGGTCACCCTTGCTGGGATGACGAGACCCCCCCGTCGACCGGTGCCGGTCACCCATCACCCCTGCTAGGATGACGAGACCCGCTCGTCGACCGACGCCGCGCCCCCGCTCTGGCGACTCGCCAGCGGCGCTGCGGCTGCCCGAGGCTCCCCTCCCCACACGCCGGCAACGGAAAAGATCATCTCCACAACACGGTATCCGGATCTGGTGGCCGCCCAGTTCTGCCCTCTTGTGCCCAGTTCTCAGCCTAAAGTTCTCAGGCTGAAGCTCTCAAGCTGAAGTTCTCAAGCTGAAGATCACGGGGATTCTGCACTGGCGTTACCATACAGAATGGGATGTCCGATTAAAAAGCTCTGTTGGCTAGTGTCCGGGATGCGGGGTGTCTTCATCGTCCGATCCGATCCGATCCGATCACATCCGATCCGCTCCTCTCGGCAGTGATCTGCCTCTTCCGCCAGCCGTGGGCGCCGTCGGCCCAGCGCTAGTGGCGAGGCCGCGGCTGCATACCAAAACAGATCACGGGCAGCTGAGCTCCCCTCCATCCCAAGTGCACGGGCCGGGCGGCACGAGCCTGTCCGCTCCAATACACCGCGCCTCTCGAGCATCTGCAAGCCAGCTCAGTCCGGCGCACTGATGCGTTCCGGGAACAGGACGGCCGAGCCGTCGCGGGCCACGGCCGCGGTTCCGAGTTCCACGGCCGCTCGGCGGCGCACGAGGGAGAGGTGGCGCCCGAAGTTGGTACCGAGTGAATCCCGCGTGGCTCGGCGTCCCGCTCCGGCTCGGTGCGTTCCGGCCGGAGCGATCCATCACACCCAGCGCGGTCGTGGCGACCACGGCTGGACAGGACGCGCTCTGCCCGGGACGCGTTCTGCCTCTGACAGGACAGGACGCGCTCTGCCTCTGACAGCACAGGACGCGGTCTGCCCGGGACAGGGCAGGACACGCTCTGCCTCCGACAGGACAGGACGCGCTCAGCCCGGGACGGGACAGGACGCGTTCTGCCCGGGACAGGGCAGGACACGCCCTGCCTCCAACAGGACAGGACGCGCTCTGTCCGGGACAGGGCAGGACACGATCGGGACGAGCGGGTGGGCGGTGCCGCGCCGGCTCGCAGTGGCCGCCGGCTGGAGGGCCGGCGCC